ATATAAAATTGTCATATAATAAAAAGAGAGAGATTAAAGTCCATTATAAAATACTACTAACTACTGATTTGAATTGTGTCTCTCTCTATCTCTGTTACAATTGGAATTGACCGTTTTCTCAGGGTTGCGTGCGCATCCAAATTTAAGGAACTTGACGGGCCACGATACCAGAACACAAGCATTATTATGCATTGCTATGAATTTTTTTATGATAAAATTTATAAAATCGATTATTCTCCTCTTTGAATATAAAACTGGCTTCTCAATTTTACTGAATTTGCGTTTTTCAGTTTTGTGGTCCGTAAAGTTGGATGCACAAGCAACCTTGAGGTAACGATCTATTGGAATTTAGGGTACTTTCATGGATATTAACGTGTCGGGTTTTGCAGAGGAAGGAAAACTAGGAAGAAAAGCCCCTTAAACCAAGGGAGAGCCTAAACAAACTTGGAGGTGGTAGTCGTTTGTGTTACACATATGCTATCCTTGATTTACCTTGGCTTCAATTAATGGCAACCAAAAACTAACATCTTGAAGTAATGAATAGTGGTATTTACCAGTGGTATCTCCAATCTTTAGAGTACAGTGTAGATTTTCATCCACTGAAATCTAGTTTAGCATTTAGAAGCYGATTGATGCTGTTAAATTACAGGGCAAAGAACCATGCCCCTCCCCCCCMCAGTAATATATTTAGTCCCCTTAGTGTAAAATGTGACATTATTACTCACCCCTAGTCCCCATGGGATTTTTGGTATTCAAGTCTTCTCTAAATGCACCTGATATGAAGTATGCAGAAAGTGGTGCAGTACTAAACAGGCACTGTAATACAGAGTTCATATAACATGTGTTACCAAGGTTACGAAGTCCCGTCCGACCAAACCCAAGTCCACCAGAAACTGGATTCAGTGATTCAAGCCTAAGGGTCGTTCGTGGTTTAGCATTTCTATTAAAAGCAGGTCTTCTTATATCAGGTTGAACCGGTTCAACAGGTTTTGAAGATCTGTCCACTCGTGGTTCATCATCCTCCAGCTTTGCTAAATTTGGTGAAGATAATGATCGGCGCAAACCTGACTTAAATTTTACTGCTTGTCCAGAAGGAGGTTTATCTCCTCGGTAAGATTGTGACGGTTCTTGTTTTGGTACACTTGGTTGTGGTTTGGTGTGTGGTTGTTGTAGATTATTAGATGTACTTGTGTGGTGTTGTGGTGTCTGTTGCTTTGGTATTATTGCTTGTGTTTGTGACAGTTGTGGTTGTGTTTGTGACAGTTGTGGTGCTGGTGTTTGACCAGGTATAGATGATCGTTGTTGTAATGGTGTCTGTTTTGGTATGGTTGGTTGTGGTGGTGTTGATGGTTGTTGTTTAGGGATGTTTTGTACTTGTGGTTTCTCAGGAGTAGCATTTGGTATATTCCAATGAGTTGTGTGTGTATTATGGTTCTTATAAAACACTCTATTGCTTGACTTATCGAAACATTTCTCCCAACCAGGGGGGAGCCCTGGAGTTGTTTTACATTCATTTCCTTGTACCCCTCTTGGCAGCGAATAAGGTGTTGTAGCCCCTTGTCCAGAAGTGACTGTCTGTCCACTGGAAAATGAAGGAGGATTGTTTGATGCAGAAAGCTGACTTTGGCTACTTGGTGCTATGTAAGGCTGGCTTATTGGTACCGTTGGGTGTCCAGGTATTTGTGATTGGCTGACTGGTGTTGTCGGGTGTCCAGGTATTTGAGATTGGCTGACTGGTATTGTTGGGTGTCCAGGTACTTGAGGTTGGCATACTGGTATTGTTGGGTGTCCAGGTACTTGAGGTTGGCTGACTGGTATTGTTGGGTGTCCAGATATTTGAGATTGGCTGACTGGTATTGTTGGGTGTCCAGGTACTTGAGGTTGTTGGCTCATTGGTATTGTTGGGTGTCCAGGAACTTGAGGTTGGGTTACTGGTATTGTTGGGTGTCCAGGTACTTGAGGTTGTTGGCTCATTGGTATTGTTGGGTGTCCAGATATTTGAGGTCGGCTTTCTTGTAGTGAACTATCAGGTCCATCTTTGAGATCAAAAGATCTGTCTTTTCTCTCTGGCTGAGATATTTCATTTCTAGCCTGCCCTAGATTTCCATTAGCCATGCGTTTAACATCCGACTCTTTAGGATACATGTCATCATGTTTAGAGATATCTCTTTCATTYACCGAGGGTTTAATCTGAGTTTCCATGGGGGGAGGGGTGGGTACTATTTTCTTTTCATCTGGGATTTCAGGGAAATCAAGGGCTGACACATCAATAGTTTCATTCAACTTTGAATGTGAAGAAATCTGTAAAACAAATAAAATAAACACATATCAGAAAAGAAAACTAGCACAGTGTACAAAACATTTATATTTATGGTTGAGATATCAAAACATGATTGTTTTTAACACAGCATGGTCAAGATCAACACAGCCACATATTTTACGAAAGAAGATGGAAACTGAAATATAAAAAAAAATTGTACCAATACTAAAAATTCAAAGGTGGTGAAATGGATGACATACCACTGGCAGTTCTGGCTTGGTAGCCAATGAAGGGTAGTGCCACAACCAGTCATCGAAACCACCATCAAGAAAGAAAGGTTCATTTCTCATAGTACAACTGGAATCATATCTAAAGATGGCCTCCTTAAACTGATAGAGTTTTGAAGCTGGTGAGATATCATTTGCTTTAGAACACTTGTCAAGGATTATCACGTGGTTCCTCGTTCCCCTCTGACACCAAATGAGTCTTGTTCTCTCTGGGATCCGTCTGTCAATGTTGCTTACTGACACCCTGTTAAGTAAATGCCAGGGCATAATAAATTGATAATTGAGAGCAAAGAAACAAAATCTAACATTATATATTATATTCTGTTCAACCCCCTTCTTTTGGGATGTATGGATATATTCTGGTTACTACAAAATATACCCTCCTCAAACCCTCCCCACCCCTTGTTAATAGCAATACCCCTCCATGGGGAGGTATGGATATTTTCTGGTACTACACAATATAACCTTCTGAGACCCTCCCCACCCCTTGGAAATTCCAATCTCCTCCATGGGGTAGGTATGGATACATACTGGTTACTACATAATATACCCTCCTCAGACCCTCCCCACCCCTTGGATATCCCAATTCCCCTCTATACATAAGGAGGAGGTATAAATATATGCTGGAACTACAAATTGAATGGCATGGTAATCTTACCCATGTTCTAAATACTCTGCTGGTATATTGATGCTAGCGTCATGGTGAATATGGTTGTTTGTGTACTCCTTCATGGGTCTGATGTCCAAGATTAACATATCTGAAGAAGCGACTGTCTTTGTAAGTGAATACAACTGCTCTGCCGTCAAAGAGCGTGGTGTTCTTGACAAGTGTGGAATGAGTGTGTTTGTGTCATGGAGACCTGAAGAATCGAAGAAAATATATTCAATGTCTCAGGTCTATTTGTATACGGCCCATTTCAATAAACATTGTCATTGTCAAAGGCGATAAGCGATAGGTCATTCTGACATGGAAATGGTTTCGTTGAATACAAAGAACATTGCATCCATCTGGTCTCAATACCAAGGTCCATGTTTTTGACGAGAATAAGATAGAAGCAGAAACACAAGTCATTCCAGCTATTCTTGGATTTTGGATTGACCCATGTCATATCGCTTTTCGCCTATCTCCTATTGCCTATCGCCTTTTGCCTATCGCCTTTGATGATGACAACATTTATTGAAATAGGTGTAGACCAGTACTTAGAGCCATATAAGTGATGAGTCACTGACTCATTTTAAAAAGATTGACAAAAATATCATACTTCCTATCAGAATATCAACAAAAACTTTAACCAATGCTTACTAAACCCTTAAAGATTATTCCAGTAAAGTTTTAGCCAAATTAAGTTTTGGATGATTTTCCTACACATACTATTAACCGTCCCTTAAACTTTTGAAATACTAGTATTCTTGTCATAGAAATGAAAAACCGCTTTGTTCTCACCATTTGATAATTCTGACCCTTCAGGAGTTAAGATAGAAGAGTGATTCACCTGCAAAAATGGAATGACAAATTTGTCGTTGAGAGTCAAAAGTCATCTGAGCCAAGTGTTCAAACAAGACTTGGCATTTGTTTCAGTGGGGTATGTCTGTAATTTTGTTAAGAACATTTTCCCCAACCATACCTTTAGCTTTTGATATATATCTGAAGGTGACGATATAGCAGGACCATTTGCAGGACCATCCAGAAGGCTATCTAGATCATCATTCACACTAAGATAATCATATGAAACAAATTATCCATCAACTGAAAGATATATGAAAAGATAGACAGAAATACAGAGAGACAGATGACAAGACAGACAGACACAGAGAGAGACACATGATGAGGAGACCAGCAGACACACACACAACAAACAGACAGGCACAGAGAGACAGATGACAGAAAGACAGACAGACAAACAGGTAAATCAGCTCACCTTGACGGTTTGACATGTTTCTTGGATTCTTTTGGTTGGTTTTCTTGGGATATCATTAGCAATAATAAATTGATTAGCTTATTAATTCATTGGTTGGTGATGTATCTATCTGCTAATGCTTTAGGATGAACGCGTGGCAAATGGTACAAATGATAAATGAACGGATAAATGAAAGGATGGAAGAATTAACTTCAACAAAATTTTGCAAGTTACCTTCCTGTTTCTTTGAATCTCTTGCAAGAAGCTTTTTAGCTAATTCTTCATCTTCTTTCATCTTTTGCCTTTCCTCATACCTAAATGTCAAAAGATCATGGCTTATAATATCACATAATATTACTTCCAAAATAGCTAACAGTGATGCTGTTTTTTCGCAAACCTTGTAACATGAATCTTAACTCATGATAGGAAGTATAAGTGGAGCACACTGCCTTTTACAAGGGTAGCACCTACAGCCAGTGGCCCTCATTCCACAATTAAATTGGAATTCAGAAATTGATTTTTGCAGAGAAAGGAAATTAACCTGAGAACCTGGAGAAAAACCCTTGAAGCACAAAAGAGAACCAACAAGCAACTCTACTCACACGTGATGGAGAGTCTGGAGATCAAAACTATAATTACAGCAGTGAGAGGTGGAACATTTCCTGTACACGCCAAGCAGTTTAGCCATGATTCAGGAGAATAGCACCCCCTGCATTATCAACATAAAAACACTGATATATTTACAGTACCTTTTTAATAAACTTGATTGCAGTTTTTCAGCTTGACTGATAGCTTTTCTTGGTTTTGTCTCCCCAAGAAGTTTGTCAATGTGAGCCTAAGAAACAGAGGAGAGATTTGGTAACAAAATGGTGATGATCAATGAGATCAAGGCTATACACTCATGTACAATGTAAGTAAACAGAGTCACTATTACTTTCTATCTGTGAATTAGCCATGCCCTGACTTAGATCAGCCCAGAGGATATTTCAGGGTTTGATCTGTGGGTTAGCCCTGCCCTGACTTTGATAAGCCCAGAGATTGTTTCAGGGTTTGATCTGTGAGTTAGCCATGCCCTGACTTAGATCAGCCCAGAGGCTGTTTCAGGGTTCAATCTGTGAGTTAGGCATGCCCTGACTTAGATCAGCCCAGAGGTTGTTTCAGGGTTCAATCTGTGAGTTAGCCATGCCATGACTGAGATCTGCTCACAGGTTGTTTCATGGCTAATCAAGTAAAGCTAGGGAATCCTACCCTGGTCCCAGAGGCTCAACGAGCGAGTGAGCTGCGCGGCTCAAAATATACGTGGCTGGGAGAAAAATCGTCGAGCCTCTGGGACAAGGGTAGGAGAATCCAGAAGAAAGCTTCAAATCCTGGAGACCCCTGAGGTAAGAGGCAAGTATATTAACGTGACACCACCCTTGATTTCCAAAGGTCTAAATAAGTGATCATTTTGATTGAAAGGAGGCCAGATGATGAAATAATTTGGGATAGCATATCACAGTATGTAAAATTACTAAGAATACCTTATCTTTCTTGTATTTATTTGACTTCTTTATTTGAGTCAAGATATTAAAATATCTCATGAAGAAAATATAGGCCATTTCTTCATCATTGATTAGGTCAAAGTCTTGAGCTTTGAGGAACACCTTGTCGGCAGATTTACACAATCTAAAATAATAATGGTATCAATTCAAGAAAAATTCAAGAATACCACAGTATGCGTACCTATCTATGCATAGGTGGGATGATTACGGCATGATGAGCGAAAGTATGAAGTTCCATGAAGAATGTAGTTCAATACATTCAACTCAATCCATGGGGGAGGTATGGATATTTTCCGGAACTTTGCAATATAATTCCCTCCACAGACCCTCTCCACCACTTGAAAATTACATTACACAAATATTATAAATTATGTTCGAAAAATAATGCTCAATTCAATTGTTTCTAAGCATTTAAAAAAACAACGACTTAAATTATTTTACAATATTTTAATAAGAAAAATAATACGTGTAAGTCTTGTCATTTCATTATTGCGTATGAAGATAATGGCTACCAAATATCTGATTTGTTTGAGCTCTGGATTACTCTTAACATGTAACGATCATCATTATTTCAATCTAAGATAGCTAAAACTATTCTCTCTCATAAAACTCAACATAATATATCTAATAATTCACATTTTTGTTACTCACAGATTCAAGCTCGTATTTTTCTCAGTCTTAATTTCTGCCATCGTATTCAGCTCAGAAACAGAATTCGCTTTATGAAGATCCTTCAAAACCGTCTTTTTCGAAGAAGGCATGATTACTTATTTTATGAGACTAAAAATCCCGACGATCGGGCTTTTTAAAGTCGTTATTTTACAGCAGAAAATATCTTCATCGCTGACAATCGCAGGAAAACCTGTTTATTTTGATCAGGCGGCCATTTTTTATGACGTCATTCTAATAAGCCAATGAAATTCTTTGTTGAATTTCCTAATACAGATAGTAGAATCTAGTAGAATACTTGTGATTGGCGTAAAAGATATTCAATCAAAATAGCTGTAATATCCGATAACAGAGGTTTACGCCACAGGGAGCCCAAACTTGGTTTGGCAAAGTTGATTTTTTTTATCACTAGAGTTTTCACTAATTCACTATGGATACACCTCCATCTAGGGAACAGGGGGAAAAGAGAGGACAATTGTAGATCATCACTTTGGATGATGATGATGATGATGTCAAGCATCATGATGACAAGAATGACTGAAGATGACATTCACTAATAAGATTGTGAGTTAATGATGATAATTATGGCATTGATGACAATGATGTATTTACAATGACTAATAATGATAATGTAAGATAATGATAATGATAATGCCAATGATGATGGTGATTGATGATGGCAATGATAATGGTGATGATGATGACGGTCGTGACACAGCAAGGGATACGCCAGACAGATCACATTGCACGAGAATTTACTCTCTATCCAATAAAATACCCGGAACATGGCATAAACACAGCGCGGACACGGTCACGCCAAGATCACATCACCTTTAGACCAATCATATTGCGTGTAAAAAAAATCAGCCAATTAAAATTCTAGAAAGTATCACGGCACGTCACGCTTACGGCACTGAGCTTTTCACAGTCATTGTAGCTACCGGCGTAACCATGGCTAGGGTTTTATACGGATCTCTGACAATCTTTAATAGTTCTTAATTTGATCGTAAAACTATAACAAACATAAAAGAATACATGAATTACTTAAGGTTACAATCACAATTGTGTTATCTCTAATCAGGCATGATTTACAGTGAACAATGGTATATACGGTGTGTCTAAATCATCCAAAAATGTACAATCAATAATAAATCATATATATGTGTGATTACAAAGTAATTGTATRAGATTTTACTGACCTTGTCTAGCCATATACTTGCTCTTACAAATCGCTCCTYGTGGTCCGTTGACCGACAATTGAAATTTGAGATCAAAATAATGATGTACTTATTATATACTTAATAATTATTTAAACATTCCACGACTGTTTATGGCAACAGTCACAGTCATACAAGAACTGCACTATGATAATGATGGTGATCAATGATGACAATGGTAATGGTGATGATGAAGAAGATGATGGTGATTATGATGGTGGTGATGATGATGATGATATATTTATAGTTGAGTGGAAATGAACTGAAGGTCTTCTAATAATAAGAGAAAGAAAAAACAACCTTTACAAATAATGTTGCTTAAATTGTCTTGTTGTTTTATTGCCTCAATTATCTCATAACTGTTCTTACATTACTGAAATACAAACTAGAGTGATCTGTACTGGTGTGCAATGCACTGAGGTGAGATTCACCCATAATCAACACAGGACAGTTGCCGAAATCCAAGATTCACAGTAAAAAAAATGAAATAATCATTCAGACCTGCTCACTATGAAAATTTCTTAGTTTCAAATAGTATTATCATTATTAGACTTTGGACAGTAATCCAGAATCTGGTGCTGCTGTCTTGACGAGGGCTTGGACTTCTTTAAAGTTGGGATGCTTGCTGTGGCCTAGCAACATAAAGAGGACAGACTCGCTTGTCGTTATGAATGCTCCACTTTGACGAAGGCGCTGAAGAGAAGACAGATTGGTTAGTAAGTCATGACAAGTTGACCTGATAACAAAAATTGTTCAGATAAAGGTCTTTTCTGAGTTAGATAAAGAGGATGCATTGTGGTCTAGCTTTGGTACAAACAACACAATATTAGCAATATTAGGCATGATGAACAAAAGAAGTTTGTACTATGTACTACCTCAGAAATATAGGGGTTTGTGCCACCAAACAGGGTTTGGTTTTCAGAGATCCTACTCTGGAACAGGGTATATAAAATCGCGCTTGCTCTSGGACAGGGTATATGAAATCMYGCTCTCTCCTCTCTGGAACAAGGTATCTATTTTCGCACTACCGGAAAAGGTTATGGCTTTCAGCGATCTTGCTCTGGAACAGGGTATGAATTTCAGCAATTTAATTCTGGAACAGGGTCAGGTTTCAGAGGGCTCACCAGCACATCCCTACCCTAAACAGGCAAGAGTACCCCCCGGGAGAAAAGATAAGACAACTTTGGGTTAGTATAGTATATGGTACTTACATCCAAAGCAAACATCCTCTCCACCATGGTACGTGAAGATACACCATCAGCCAAAACGTGAACTTCGTAGTTTCTTTCAAGCAAATCAAGGGTTGTTTGAAGGATGCACACTTGTGTCTGAAAAGAATTTCACATGAGAATTCGAATGAAAATTATAGCCACTAGCCTTTTCCTACATGTTACAATGTTTCCCTATTTCAGAAAAGAAATAATACTCAAGGGAATAACACATGGCCTGAAATGAGAAAATCTTGCACCATAGCTAGAAAGCATCCATAGTAAAGAAAGTACTAATACTCAAGGGAATATGATGCAGGGTCTAAAACAGAAGTTTATATCTGTTAGTAAATATTTATAACATCCATTTACCTCAATTCCAAACAGCACCACTGACTTCACATTGGGCATTTTCTTGAGTTCCTCTTCCACTTCAGGTATGACCATGGAGAATACCGTTTTTGGGAATATTTTGTCCTTAAATCCACTGGTATCTATCTCCTCAACAGTGTTTCCTAACCCCTTAGGATACTGCTCTGTGCCAATGATGGGGATCTTCATGATGGTACCCGCCATAACCTTAAAGAAAATACAGGGTTTTTTTGATCGTTTATATTGTGTATCAAATTGAATAGGTAAGGTTATATATTGGTATTCAAAATAGCCCTCAAACTATTTAGAAATAACGGGCTTTGAGTTTAAAATTGGCTGTATATTTTCTGAAAAATCTCTGGTTATCAAGGTGAAATGTCAATTTGTCATGATAGAGCGGGGAGGAAGGGAGAGAAAGAGGAACGAATATGTTGGGTTGAAGTTACGCAATGTCCGACACAATGACACCCAACAAACTGAGATCTAGTGATCAGAAAGCAGAAACAAGGGACTCACCATTCTCTGTGCAACCTTGATGATCTCAGGGAAAAAACGAATTGATGGACGAAACTTCTCCTGCATATCACACAGCAAAAATGCTGTGTTTTCTGCAGCAAGACGACCAAGACGAGCAGCCATGTTGGATACACAGGAAACCCAATACAGGTTACTGCACAGGAAGCCCAATAGGCTAGATCGGTCCTAGTGAGCAGTTCTCAAATGTTGAATAACACGCCTCACTTCTTAGAACTGGTTCAGGCCGTGTTGGTCCAGTTTAAGAACTGGGGCATATCATTTGAGAACTGGCCACTGGTAACAATCCGTTCAACTTAATAGAAAGCACCCTTATACTCGTCGTAAGGGCTTGATGAGCTTATGATGGGAGGGGGCTTGTAACTAACCAGAAGGAAAAAGTGTTTGGGATGAAGCGGAAACAACTATCTCTATCTTCCAATTTCCCAGTCAATTTTTTATATCATCAATGGGCTTGTAGCCAGGGGAGCTAATAAAAAAGGGGTTTTATCTTAGACATGAAATATGACCAAAAATAAAATTGAAGTAACAATGGACTTAATCCACTTGGGCTTAATATTTTGCTCATTTCAAACCACTCGTCATTCTCTCGAGAATAGGTTTCTTTGTTTGTGTTGAATCCATATTCATGTGTCTTTTCATGCACAAACGTTAAACAAAGAAATGACTCTAGGGAATGACATGTGGTCTGAAATGTGAAAACAGTGGATTAGGTCTAATTCTCTTACCCCAAAGAATGCTGTCAAACTGTTTCAGGAAAAATGGATGGCACTTTTATGATAAAATATTGTTTATTTCAGATACTATTTTAATATTGATCACAAGTTGCTGTATAAGTCTACCATCAAGTCTATGTTTGATGATTAAATTATTGGTAATAATTGATTATCCTGGTGGCCAAGTCATCTGCCATCCTCCAAGAACATGTAAGTGTAAATGATATACAGACTGTGCACCATTAACACCATTGTTGATCACTGCAAATATTAGGAAATACAAAAAAAAAACACGTTTAATTAAAGAAATTTGTCACGTCTAATTGTGTCAAATTCATACCTACCACCAGTCACACCTGTCAATTTAAATTAACGAGTATTGTAACAGTAACATAATAACTATACCTATCCTGTAACCATCCTCTGCTAGACCCTCTTGCTTGGCAACTTTGGTAGCAACATATAAAAGATGACCCAGAAGCTAGAACGAAGAAAAACATGTGTCATTCCCTTGAGTATTATTTCTTTCTTTACTAGGAATGCTTATTGGCTGCAATACAATGTTTTCCCATATCAGACCATGTGTCATTCCCTTGAGTATTATTTCTTTCTTTACTAGGAATGCTTATCGGCTGCGATACAATGTTTTCCCATTTCATATGTGTCATTCCCTTGAGTATTATTTCTTTCTTTACTAATAATGCATCAAAAGGCACAGTTTGATAGAAAGCCAATACTCACTGGCACATCATTCTCAGTAACATTACTAATCTGTGCAATGGCCTTTCTGGGAATGACCAAGAAGTGTACCGGGGCTGCTGGGTTGACATCTTGGAAAGCTATACTCTGAGTAAGGTAAATAATAAAGCATTAATAACAAGTCTTTGTTGTATATGGATTGGATTGAAGGATGGCTGCATGGATGGGTATATCAATCATCAGGGCCACTAGTTTATTTGAGGGCCACTAGTTTATCAGTTTATAACTGTAAAGTGTTTTTACCCTCTGTAAATAAAGTTATTATTATTATAATATGTGGAGGGGGGCGGGGTACCTTTCAAAATATCCCTCCGCAGTATAAAGTTGATAAGATACATTCAAAAATGTTACATAGACCACCTATTACATCCATTCAGTTTCATTCTAGCAAAGTAGGTGATGGTAGGTTAAAGACACCAAACACACTGAAATGGCATCCCATTATACATATCGACCAATCACAACGCTTAGATAAATATTGCATTTTTCAAAATTTTCCCTACTCATACTAAAGCATCTCTACATGCAGTTTAATTCCACCTTATCATCCTCATAGATAATGTCAGCAGGTATCTCTTTCTTCAAAATCTTTCCAAATATCGTTTCAGAGTTCTTGTTCTCTTTAGCAGCAGCCTTGGCTTTGTCAACCTCGTCGTTACACAGACGCTGGTTGGTAGAGAAATATTGCGTCCCCACGATCAGTCTTGGTGCAATACTTAATGCAGCAGCTGTAGATAGAATCGTTTTGCTGTTAATAGTGCGTAAAGTTTGACGGAGAGCGGCCGCCATCTTGGATGGTAAGGGTCACTTCTTACTTACCCCACCCCAGAGGGTAGCTTATGTCCAACACAGGTATCCCGTGATATAGAAATTCTAGTGTAGCAGAGGTTACCGCTGTAGTCATAGCAAGGGCTCACAAACATTCCCTGGAGGCAAAAAATTCAACCTGAATTTTCCTTAAAAAGCTTTATTTTTCTTCTCGTTTCTGCTATTTTCGCCTTATATTCCCGACTGGACGATGAGTCGAACATTACTCTAAATTATTATGGGTTAAAACAGAAGGTTTTTTTGCAAAAGCTTAAGATTTGAAGCGAGTTGTTCGAGGAAGCTTCTTGTGTTGTCGTTTGTAAAAAGTGATTATTTGTAGTAAAAAAGTCGCTAAAAAGTAGGAAACACTCCGTTATTTTCGATGCCTTCTTCCAAGTTAAATGCTCAGGTACGTATTGCATGGTGCAGATAGCATTATTTATTTATATTTTTTCCTATCTACCTTAGTTTTGATGGGATTCTGTGGCTTTTTATTGACTTTCTATTGACGACAACACGACTCACTTTAACATGATGCTTTCAAATAACTATTATATTACCAATTATTATTATATTTGTACAGTTTAATGTACTTCCCTCAGGACCTTGGATGATGTAAATACTCTAGAAACACTTAAGCAGTGTTTTGAATTGCAAACTTGTAATTTGTTTCAATTATTTTACACTAGAATTCTTTAAAATTTAGCAATACTTACTAGCGGGCTTATATTGTTGTTTGGTGTATTCTTATTACAGGAAGTTGATGCCTACTCTGATTCTGGATCTACTATTTCTCTTGTAAGTGAAACAGCTGTTTTTTGAGTACTGGTTCATAGTATTCAGTTTAGCATTTTGAAAAGATTGTGTTGCATTCTGGTCTAGCTTGGGTACAAACAGGATGTATCTCGTAAAACATACAGTAGAACACAAGCTAAACCAGAATAAATCATGTTCATTATCTCCTGATAATGTGAGAGAAGAGAGCCGTAGAACCTTGAGTTAATTCTTTGAATCAAGGAAGAGATGTAATAAAGTTATGGCTAATTCACAAATCAAATTGGAATTTAGTTTTTGAGGTTTTCCAGAGGGAGAAAAAAAATAGTGGAATAAGAGAAAAACCCTCAACAAATTGGATATCTTCAATTCAACAAATTGGATATCTCCCTTGATTGAAGCTGAGTCCGGGAATCAAACCTTGAACACCAGAGATGACAGCAGAGTGTACTATCATTGCACATTGTAGGAATCCTGACCCTAAATGTAATGAATTTTAATTAAGAATATGTAAACCGACTTCCTTTTTATTTTTCTAGTTATTTTTGGAAGTTGGTACCCCTCAATCTGTCTAACATATAAGAATGTATCAAATTAGAAAATAATGTAATAATGGGTACAAATAAATAAAGTTCTACCCTTTATTTCAAAACTTTGTCAATGTTATAACTGTCTGTGTTTTTATTTCAGGCCAGCTGTGGTTCAGGGGGCAGTGGATTGACTCCCAAACCTCCTTTAGGTACTCCTGATCAAAATCATTATTATAATATTGCTTAATAATTGCAATCATTTTTCTAACAACAGGGTTTGTGCTACTCCTTAAATTCCTTGAAAACTCCTTGAATTTAATTCACGTTTTCAAGGCACTTGAAAAGCTCTTGAATTTTACAATTTTAGGAAAACTCCTTGAAAACTCCTTGAATTTTTGCTTTGATCATTATTTGCATGGTTCTGAAATAGATCTTTTCAGAAAGATTGAAAATCTGAAGGTCAGCCATGTGCAACCACCGTGTAAAACCTTGGCATAGTTAGCTGAACATACTCCTTGTAAATTCATTTTTGGGTCCTTGTATGCTCCTTGAATAGTCCTTGAATTTTAAGTGGTTACCTCAGCACAAACCCTGTAACAAACTTGGTGAAATAAATTCATGTTCATCCTAATCCTCATTAGATGCTACTTCAAGGTCAAGGTCAGTCAAAGGAAGGCGCTCCAAGGTGACACAGCGTAAGTATCAATGATTTTAGATAAAATAATCAATCAGCTATTCAGCCAATCAACATTTACATCATATTCCACATTTGTCTATATCAGCACCATCTCCTTATGCTTCACGTCAAGTCACAGCAAAGAGACATGAAGCTGTTAACTCAACGACAAGAAACCTCTGGCTCACGTCTATGAAGAAYGGCACTGGAGGTACTTTAGATATCATATCTCTATTACTATTAAATAAATGAAATAAATTATCAATTTACAAGGGTAACACTTAATAGACCTCATCTGCTCTGACGTAATGTTTTCCCATTTCAGACCACATGTCATTCCCTAGAGTATCATTTCTTTGTTTAAGGTTTGCGCTTGGTTGCACATAAGAAGACACATGAATATGGATACAACTCAAACAAAGATTCTCTAGGGAATGACATGTGGTCTGAAATGGGACAACATTACGCTCCAGCGCTCCAGAGCCGAGGAGGTCTTTAGCCAGTGGTTAACAAACCTGTAGCCTTCGCTTAATGATTAAATTGGAGATTTAGAAGTGCATAGGAGAGAACCAACAAACACCTCTACTCTACTTATGGCACATTTGATCATATTTACATGGGAATTTGCACCATATAAGTATTAAATTATTATTGTCATTATTACTCACATATGACACTAAGTTTGTGAATCGAACCTGGTTGGCATTGGTGAGAGGTGAGCACTCTTGCTGCTAGCACCACCAATGCTTCCCAGTATTTAGGTATTCTTAGATTGGTATAAATTAAGTCTGTTTACAAAAGCTTTGTTTGATATTAATGTTATGTTTGGGCTACCTGTGGAGCATCATGCCACAGGGACCCCAAACTAACTTATCATACTTCGATATTATCTGTAGCCCTGAGCACCAATAACACAGCTATGAACACCTGGGCAGGTCCCAGGCCCTCATATGCGAAGAAACGAAGACCAGGATCAAGAACCAGAAACTTTAGTGATGTTGTTGAGGTTAGACATCTTGTGTCATTCCCTTGAGTATTATTTCTTTCTTCACAAGAATGCTTTTCAGCTATGGAGGAACTTGAGTATTGACCTCTTTTTGATGAGATTGGATTGGTTTCTGCATTTGCTGCTAATACATTTCTGAAGAAATGAAGTGTGGAAAGAATTGGGTGTTCTCTTTCTTTCTTTTTATTGATACATAATTATTTTTGTGTTCTTGTAGTTTTCCAAAACCAAGTCTCATTCAAGGAGCGCATCTCTTTCCAACAGTAAGTTTAATATGATGCATGTCAATATTTTGTACATGAATATTTAATAGAGTTAATGTAGTGAGTGTTGTGTGTATTAGATGTAATGCAGTGCTCATATTTCTTTTTGCAGCTGAACCCCATGTTTTTGGAGGAGGACCGGCTTTGAAACCAGCAGAAGATTATTATGATGAAATAATAGGACTGAAAAAAGTATGTCTCATCAACATTATCATCATCATCATTATCACAGTCTTCATCAGCATTAGCATTATCATCATAGGTCAGCGTCATCATCACCATCACCATCATCACACTATCATCATCACCACCACAACTATTATCATCATCATCACCATCTTCATCAGCATAATTCCCATCACCATCATCATGACACCATCATCACCATCATCATCACCATCATCATCACCATCATCATCACCATCATCATCACCATCATAATCACTGTAACCATCATCATCATTATGACCATCTTCATCACTATCATCATCAGAACTGCCATCGCCATCATTATCACCATCATCATCAACTTCGTTATCTTCATTATCACCTTCATTGCTATATAACATTACTTTCAACCCTTTTCTGAATTAATGGTCAAAGATCATTACCTGTATTACCTAATATATAGTATTAACATTTTTGTCTTATAGATTATTAATTCGCTAAAAGAAGATAACAATCTTCTCAGCACTAAGTTACATCGGGTAGAGGAAGAAAACATCATCAAGGTATGTATAAAAACATCCTTTATTACAGACTCAATTACACAGGCTTAGCCTCATTTCAGGATCAAAATATTCACAAATACCAAAAGAATGCACAACTACAACAATACATTTTGGAAATTCCATGGACTTACACTGAAAAAAATGAATATTCTACGCAAYATCAAGAGAGAATTAGAAACTGAGTATCATTACATATTTTTACTGTATTATGTATTGCTGGTGATAATAGAGTGTTGATATAAGATGGGAGCTCACATGTATTCTAATGGTTAACAAAAACAATTCGTTTTATTTATAGGACAGAAAGATGTATGATTTACTGAACTCTAGAAAACAAGTAAGGCTGCATTAATGAAGAAAGAGATAAAAACTTATGTTTTAAGACCTGGCATTACTCCCATAAGAAGCTAAAATATTTAGTAACTAGTTTGCTTGAATCTACAGCCAGAGGATCTTAGAAGAACGCTAACAGACAAAAGAGGAGACACAAGTGCTGTAAGTATCAATAGTAACACATTATCACTAAAAAGTCAAATCTGGGGTCTTTGCTTCGATTCCTGGATTATGCATCACATCTCCAGGGCCTTTTTGCTTGATTCTAGGCTTTTTCTCACTCCATTAAATCTAATTATTATGTTGCTCATCCAATCCATCTATGATCTTTGGGTCATTTTTACCACAGATTGTCAATAGTTTGAAACAGAAGCTTCATGGTGTTGAACGAACAGTGAAAGAGAAAGAGGCAGAGCTCAGGTACTTAGTTTGTTACTCCTTGAGAAAGAGACCATTTTCAAATCAGTCAAATACTACTGTGTTCCTTGATTACAGAATTATTTACCTCAGGGTTAGCCTCATGTCAGCACCAGAATATTCACATATACCAACATAAGGAATGCACAACTTCAACAATACAAACCCTTTGAAATTCAATGGACCTTGAGTGGAGCCAGAATATTCTACACAAAATCTAGGAAAATCCTGAACAACAGACAATTCAAAACTAGAGTATTCTCCATTCGATTTATTACATCTTAAAACCACTACTACTGGTATCCATGGTAATCTTGCTATTGGTTCCTCTATATTGGGCAAGAAGCGAAATTGTTTACAATCCAAGACCCACTAGATATGTCCCCAACAAAAAACTTTTTATCTTGATATTTTTCAAAAATTCGTCATATGGATATTAGATATGAGTACTAGAATGCAAAAAATGAAATAAAAGCCTCAAATTCGGCATAAAAAACGTTTTTCGATCCGGACAATCCAGCTAACCAAAGTCCAGTCCAGTCCAGCCATGCTCGGTTCCGGATTTTCCAAACTTAAAAAATGGCTCATAATTTGGAATTAAGAAGCCCAAATCAAATTTAAGAGGTTGGATTTTTTTTCTCTATTCATTAAAACTATCCATGCCAATTCAAAAGCTGAAAATTTGATAAACAAAATTTTTCATCCAGGATCCAGAGTCCAGTCCAGTCCAGTCCAGTCCAGTCCAGTCCCACTTTACATGATCCTAATATTCCAAGATTCTTTTTTTCTCGACTTTTAAAGTTTTAGCATCTTTTTACTATTTATAGAAATGAACTTTAATTCCTGAAAATGAAATATTTATTGACCGACTAAGATACCCATATGAACTTTGATCATTTTCAAAACTTCCTCTCACTGGAATTGACTGAAGCGAGATGACGTTTTACCCCTGTCTCTAGACCATAATCCTTTTCCCACTGCTTTTGTTCTTTAATTATGACTATTGTTCCTGTATTCTCTAAGGAATCAAAAATTTTGATATGAAAGAATTTWAAAAACTATTATGGTATAGAGTCGGGGGTAAAACGTCATCTCGCTTCAGGCTTATTGACTGAGCCTATGGTACTATCCAATTTTGGCAGTCCTCAGAATTTTTTTCGTAAAACATGTAGTTATATTACCTATACATACTATTATTTATTATTTAGGCATTATTATTAATTATTATTATCATTGTTGTAGTTGTTGTCATTATTATTATTATCTATTTATTATTTATTTATTATTTTTATCATTCATTTTTATTATTATTATTGGGTTTTACAGCAGAATTAAAGATATTATATTGTGTTATTAATAGCAACCTAAGAAGAGAGCTAAAGATGACAGATATCGAGGAGCTTCGAATTCAATCAGAAACATATTACCAAGAGGTACAACGGCTACAGCTGGCCATGTTACAGATGCAACAAGAACGAATTAACTACACAAGTAGTATGACAGAGTAAGTAAATAACAAACACTAGCATGGCTTCCCACTGATTGAAGTCATGATGATTGACATCATGGTGATCAATTGACGTCCTCTATCTTATTCATGTCCTTGCCCTTAACAATACATATAACTGGCTTCCTTGACTTGTTGATTGACACTGGTACCTTGCAACTCACAACTGTACCTACATTTAAATGGCTTCTTTCACTGATTGAGTGACATCTTGTACATTTGTAACATCTAAATGGCTTCCWCTAAATGATTGACATTTCTGTTTGACAGTTTAAACATATCAGATGAGCTGGCTTCTGCCAGAGGCAAGAGGCCGATGAGTGCGTCACAACACAGACTTCTAAGTAAGTAGTATTTCTTCTATTTCATTAACTAAGAAGCAACTTGTGTGCAGTTATACTGATTTACTAGCTACGATTGGAGACATGGGTTTTTGTCTTCCGTCAATCAGATTTAAGTTAAGTAAATAAATGGGATAAGATGGACCTTAAGCGGGAGAGATTGTCAGTGGTTGGTGGTTGTTGACTCAAAAGTTTATACTCTTTTAACAACCACACACTTTCCAAACTATTATTATATTCTTATATATACTTATATTATGGTTATGTAGTTTGTTCATACATTACCTCTTCAATTGTAAAATGTGTATGAATATATTAGTATATGTAATAGGACTACCTGCTGTCCAATTAAGAAATAATTGGAAAATTCCAAGGAAAATTCCAAGGACTGACAAAATTGGATGAGGCCGTAGGCCGAGTCCAATTTGGCAGTCAGAGGAATTTTTCGAGTCTAATTATTTCTTGATTGGGGAGCATGAAATCCCATTACCTATTAATTATATAGCTGCCTAATTAATCCCATATCAACAAGGACTGTCCAATTAAGAAAATAATTGGACAGTTACCTATATGGGATTAATGAGAAGCTGTATAATTATTAAACATATTAAGAGAACCAACAAACAACTTTACTCAAATACATCACCAAGTCCAGGAATCAAACCCTGGTCATGTTGGTAAGAGGCAAGCGCTCTCACCACTACACCACCAATGTTTACCTAAAGGTTAGTAATTTTTTAATTGATGGAAGCCGAAACCCAGATTATTAGAATACATAAAATTATTAACTAAGGTTTTTTAATTATTATTATTGTTTTTATCATCATCATCATCATCATCATCTTATCATCATCACCATCATCACCATCATCATCATCATCACCATCATCATCATCATCTCCATCATCACCATCATCATCATCACCATCATCACCATCATCATCATCATCATCATCATCATTATTTCTTCTTGGGAGCAGAAGATATAGAAATGTTAAAAGCAGAGAACAAAAGCTTGAAGAAAGAGTTAATATCAGCTGTGGAAAACCAGTCAAAAAAAAGCAGCAGACAGTCACTAAATGGTAAGGACATTCCTACATTCCTTAAATTTTCCTTTGCCAATCCTCAATCCAATCCTTGTTTAATCCTTCTTGCTCTTTATTTCTATTTTTGTCTATCATTCCTTTCATTTTCCTTTCCTTCTCTTTAATTCCCATCTATTCTTATCCCTTGCCTTCCAGTTCCATTCTTTCCTTTCCCTTYTTTTAAATATATCCCATTCTTTCCTTTTCCTTTCCTTCAACTTCCATTCCTTTCATTTCCCATCCTTTATGCTGCTTTTGCTTTCAATAAATGTATTTCTCATTTTTTCCTTTATTCTCAGTTGATTATGCTGACATGTCAAGAGCTCAACTACTGCACGCCATCCATGAGTTAGAAATGGTAAGAAAAGTTGTCATTATTACCTCCACCCGGTTAGTTCATTTGGTAAGAGTGTTGGTCTGTTGTGCGGGAGTTCATGGCTCAAGCATCGGATGGAGCAACACTCAGGGTCTTATTATAACTGAYGAGAAGGTGCTGTCTTTGTATTTGCATCAGTTTGAAAAAGGTTAGACCTTCACATGGCTTGGATGACCACGTTAATGGCAGTCCCATCCCTAATTAACTATAAAACCATGAGTTTATCAGTTGAATTACTATTAAGTGTGATATGTCTTCTATAAACAAAGTTGATTTATTTATATATTTTTATTTATTTATCTATTTCGTTTATTTAAGTTATTCTATTTTGCTACTGTTCTCTCATTTATTTGTTTACATTTTCAGAAACTTGATGAACCTAGAGATAGAATGAAAGATTCTGCAAGAGAAAAGGATGAGAAGGATGAGAAAAAAGGATCTAAGAAGAGAAAATCACAAGAATCTGAAGGTGAATCATCATGAATCAATGTTGTTTTAATTGCTTGTACTTTCTACTTAAATATCATCATCATCATCACCAACATCATCATATATCATCCTCACCACCACCATCATCATCATCACCATCATCATCATCTTCATCATTTATCATCATCAGCAGCATCATCATCTACTCGATCATCATTATAGATCATATATCATGATCACCAGCATGATCATCATATATCATCATCATCAGCACCATCATCATCATCATATACCATCATCACCCCAACTGCCATCATGATCATCATCACCATCATCATCATATATCATCATCACCATCATCACCATCATCATCATCATAACCATCACCATTATCAGGTATCACCATTATCAGGTATCACCATCATTCTAACCATCATCTTCATCATCATCATCATCATCACCATCATCGTTTATCATCGGCAGCAGCATCATCATCTACTCGATCACCTTCAGCATTATAGATCATATATCATGATCACCATCATCATCTTCATCATTTATCATCATCAACATCATCATCACCACAACCATCATCACCATAATTCATCATTTTGATCACGATTCCTGTCGATCAAATGGTTCTTTTTGCACCTTACTTTCAATACTTTTTAATTAACAGGAAAGCTTGGTAGTTTGGAAGAAACTCAAGCTGAAATGACTGAAGAAAGAGATAAACTTCGCCAAATGATAGAACGACTGAAAGAAGACAGAACACATTATCGCAATGTTGCTGATGATTTACGGTAACCATCTTTTATCCTTTTTTAAGCTTTTTTCAAATGACCATATTTAAGAGTATCATTACCATATTATTTTAAGGGTATTCTTTTTCCAATGACCATATTTAAGGATATCCTTTTTTCAAATGACTCTCAATTATTGCCTGACTTAGATCAGCCCAGAGGTTGTTTCAGGGTTCAATCTGTGAGTTAGCCATGCCCTGACTTAGATCAGCCCAGAGGTTGTTTCATGGTTGGATCTGTGAGTTAGCCATGCCCTGACTTAGATCAACTGAGTGGTTGCTTAAGGGTTCCATAACATTTGAAGGTTTTGTAATCATGTAGGAAGCAACTGAAAGCAAAAGAAGAAGAAGTAGAGGACCTTCATCATAGATTATCACAGACAACACCTGGAACAACTGATGCTGGTGGTCCAACTACAGTCAGTACAGTCAGCGGTACAGTGATGAGAAGAAAGTCTAGCACTACATCTACAGCAAGGTAATGATGATGACTATGACTGTTGAGGATGTAAGATGATGATGATGATGATAATGATGATAATGATGTTGACAATGATGGTGGGGATGATAATAGTGATGATGATAGTGGTATTGATAATATAATGGATGGAGATGATGATGATGATGATGGAGAAGATGATGATGAATGGTGATGATGATGATAAATGTAAGATGATGATGATAATGGTGATAATAATGATAATGATGATACTGATAATGATAGTTATATATTTTACAGTCAATCTAGTGGCAGACGAAAACCAGTCTCAGCTCGAGAACGAGATTTACAAATGGAGAAGGAGTTTGAGGAATTCAAGCAACGCCATGCTGCAAAGGTTCTACAGAAACAGTGGAGATCTTATCAGGGAAAGAAACAGGATCAACTGACAAAGGAACAAGAAAAACTACAACAAGAAGAAGCAGCAAAAACTTTACAGAGAGAATGGAAAAAACATGTAAGTGTTGTACTTGTATCATTATAACTTATAGTAATCATTCAGCATCACTATCATGATCATCATGATCATTATCACCATCATCATCATCTCCATCATCATTATCATCACCATCACCACCATCATCATCATTAACATCATCACCATCATCATCACCACCATCATAATCATTAACATCATCATTATTACCATCATCATCACCACCATCATCATCATCATCTCCATCATCACCATCATCATCATCACCATCATCAT